CCAAACCAGTCTTTTCTGATACCTTTTGTTAATAGAGAGTAAGAACAATTATTTAATTTGCAGACTATTCTGTTAACTTTTAAACAACTTTAGTATATTCACTTTACACTTAACAGTTAGAATGTTTTTTTTTCTGTATAGGAGGGGATAAGGGAGAATGACAGCGTAGTAATTTAATCCAAATGAGTTTGTTAGGTTGATATTGTTATAGCAGAAAATGTCATTAATGAAGAAATATGCTGCTATATCTGAGATAAAATGTTTAATTAAGAATTAATTAAGAATTACTGATGTTATGCAGATATTGCCTGAGAATTTGGATAAAAGGAGAGCTTAATATTTTGTGACTCAGTAAATCTAAAATTAGAAAACTGGAGACCTTAAGGAATTGCAGCAATCATCTATTTTTCCAGGTTGAAGTTAGCCAGTTTGGTCAACATCAATCTCTTATAACATGCTGTGTCTTTGAATATTTGTAATGTAAACATTTTCCTCTTCCTGTCCTTTATTTCTATTTCAGGAACACCTTTCAACCATCACTCAAAACTAAAATGAAAACTAATCTACATTAATTCACTGCTGTACTTTTTTGCTTTTAGCTAAACAGCTGTCTGGGTGAAACAAAGAAACATAGGTAGTCTCATCAAAACTAAGTTATTTGGGGAGGGAAAAAAGGGGGAAGGAGTTTTAAAAACACAGACCATGTACAAAGCTGTTATGGCTTATCCTGCAAAAACTGATTGCACCCTACAGTGGTGGAAAGGATCTCAGCCCATTTCCAGCTGGGAACGCAGGGTTGTTTTACTGCAAAAGTGAAATGACAGGTGATTATCATTTTCTTTTTGTAGATGGCAAGGAGACTTGTGTAATATCTCTCATTTCTAGAAAACAGATAAAGTGGAAATACTTAGAGGACTTGTTTCTACCTGAGTAAAGGCAAACATTTGTTTTCTGCTTTATCTTGCATTTCAGAAAGATATGAGTACTCAGGCTGTAAGAATCTGGATCTTCAGTAGCAGCTAGGTATAGTCTTGTTGATGCTTATATAGGAGATGCTTATATGCTCAGGATTCTGGGAAAATATATTTTTAAATGATGTGCAGTCTAGTAATGAAAAGAGACTATCAAATTTTCTTCTCTATTGAGTTTTCTCTCGTACTCTTGCTTTTAAGAACTACCTTTAATTTTGCCTTTTCTTCTTAGTAACAGGAAAGTGTTTAGTGTTGCACACAAGCATTTTAGGTAAAGCTTAAACAGTGGCATTCTCTTTTCAAGACAAGTTTTATTCTATATGGAATTCTGTGTTGAAAAGTTGCTGTATGCATATCACTGACTGTCAACACTGTGTTTCAGTCTGTATTTTCTGACTGGATACCATGGTAGAGTATTCCATAAAAATTATCGTTCTATGACTTGATTATGAAATGGCAGAGAATCTGGTAGCAGTTCCTCAAACCACGTATTTCTTTAGTAATTAAGCCAACAATAGAAGATAATCTATTCATTCGTTTATCTACTATTTATTTGTTTATTAATACTTGTTCAGCTCTTATTATCATGGTCTACTATGTTTATATTACTTCAGAAGAAAGCTTGTTTCCTTCTTGCTTCAAGACTTGCCTCAGATTGAAACCTCTGGCAAGTTAGATAAATTAGGACATCCTCACAGTGGGGAAACCCTAACTTTATTGCACTCAAATATCAAGCTTAAATAAAAGAGTGGGATTTGTGCTGCTCATACTTACAAGTATGTGAGGCTGTGCATAAATGCATGGAAGTTTCAAGGGGAAGTAGAGTGAGGAATTCCCAAGCGTGGCTAGAGCTGAGTATCTCAGTTCAGCCTGCTGTCAAAAATGATATAATGACAAAATGGTATTAGAAATCATGGGCGTGAGTGATCTAGAAATGATTGTTTTAAAAAGAGTAGAAAGGATGTCTGAGACTTATTTTTTTTTTCAGTCTATTCTGGGCTTTGTCCATAGAATTTCATGTGTGTCTTGTCACAGGCAGCAATGAAAGTCAAGTCAGCAGGAACAAACCTTCGTCCTGATGTTTTCTTCTGTCTACAAAATAATAGCTAGATAAATTTACTAATATTAGTATGATCTAATTCCTTATCCATATCAGAAATTAGAATGAAAAACTTCTAAAGTTCCTAATTGCATAATAGACTAACATTATCTGTAGTTTCAAAAATACTAATTTTATTAAGAAAAAGCAATTAGCAGCTTTCTGGTCCAGGAGACAGTGTTATTCAATCAGATGCGATGGTGTTTATCTATATGTTTTTCTGAAGAGTAGTCACGTTCAATCAGTCCATCTGCTTTCACTGCTGCAGTTAAACTCAATTAGTTAGTAGTCAGATGCTTTTTGAAAATACGTAGGATTGGCTGAATTTATAGAAAACTCTATGTGGCCTCTGTTTTCTCCGCGTTTATAATCTGCTATCACCATGCTGTCCAGTTCTGACCAAATATTGTAGAGACTGCCAAGAAACTATGGACTTTCAGATTTGGGACAAAAATAAGAGCTAGACTTCAAGCTTAAATATCCTCTTGTATCATGCTGTTTGTCACTAAAAACAATTTAAAAAACAAACAAACAAAAAAAACAAACAAAAAAAAACACTCATTCGGTACCACAAAACTTGCAAGAAGGGAAAATACATTATCTCAGCTCCAGCCATAGTTTATAATGAGAGCGAAGCTTGTTAAATGTGATCTGCCTTCTACTGCATAATTAGAAGGAGAAAGTTCCATGTTTTTTAAAGTAGCTTAACTCTGCTTTTACACCAACATTTTAGCTGACAGGAATAGATTCTACAGCTCAGCAACAGCATGTTTCTGCTTCCAACAGATAAGAAAATACAATGCACAATACATTAATTTTGCTTCTAGTACGTCACAGAAATGATGCCGAAGTTGTAATGACATTCATTAGCAGATAGTTGGTATGGATGCGGATGAAATGTTCAGTATGTTGTGTGCCATATACAGGGGAAATTACAAAGGGTTTTGTATATTTGAGAGATTATAAATAATCTCTCAACCCCTTGTTCTCTCAAACACACAAATTTTGTGGTGGTGGTTTTGGCTTAATATATTTTTTGTCCTTTTTCCTTACTTTCTGTTATTTTCCCTTTAATCTACTAGACTTAGTTGTATTTGAACTCTTTGAGGATATTGTCCAAAATGTCATAGATTGCTGAGGTAAATTATAAATAATACACATTCAGAAACCAGAAAATTGTTTTCCATGTTTCAAATTGTTTTCTGTGACCTTCTTTTCTGCATCATGACCCTTTTTCATAAGCAATTGTTTGCATCATTGATTCCACCTGTTCTTCCAAGGTAACTATCCCTGCTTTGAGCTGGGAAGAAACAAGTAGTTGTAACAAGTAATACGTGTCTTGCTCCGTGCACGTTGAAATGAACTGAATAATGTGATATCATAACTAGTAACAACAATCTTAGCAGTTTTTCAAAACAGCCTGCTCAGTAGCTTGCTATTAATGTTGTGCATTGCTCTTCCTGGCTATGTTTATTTAATTGTCTAATTTTTTTTTGTTATATTTCTTCTTGCTTCACTACAGCTCTTTCTCGTTAGTCCGATGCTCGTCCTCAACCTAAACCACAGCTGCTGGCAGTTTCTATGCAGATTATGATGCTCTGTTCTTGATATCTTCACCATCATTCATAACAATCAATTTATAGAGAAAAGTAAAAGCTTGTCTTATATTTACATTTCCAAGCCCTTCTCCCAACCTCTCACCAAACTTATAGCATGATAAGTGCATGGGTGTTAATAATGCTGGCTTATATACAGAGAAGAAATAAATATGATTCCATCCTTAGAAGTGGAAGACATTTCAGCTTTTTGTAAACTTCCTCCTAAAATCTTATCTGAAACATTCATATAAGCTCTTCTTTCCAAATGTTTTTCCTCATCCTTGTTTTTATATCTCTTTATAGATCCTCTTTCTGAATGCTTGTGTCGTCAGTTCCACTTATTCTTTTAAAGTATCTTGAAGATTTTCATTGTCCTTTCCTAAAAGCTTTAGTCTGAGTAGATCTCTAATTCTCACATCAGGTAGCATGTAAAAATTGTTTCATATCCATTGATCTTAACACTTCGTTATGTAAAAGTGAGAGTTAAGTGTCTATGCTGGAGGAATATTTTGGAAAGGCTTCTGGAGTCTGTAGAAAGATGATATATTAACGCTTGACTTGTCAGAATATGTTAACAGAGAGATACTTGGAACCCCTCTTCTCTTCATTGAGCAAATCTGTATGAAAGCAAATAGCACTCAAGAGGCCCAACCTCTGTACACAATCAGCTGCCTCATTTCCAGAAGTAGGTAGGATGCTCTGAAAGTAATGCAAGACAAAGCTTTATTTGCATTTTAGAAAAAGAAATATGTCAATTCAAATTAAATTAAAAAATGAAATGCACGGTTAATTAACTAGTGAAGTCAATAGTTCAGGCATTGGAAATACTAAAAAAAACAGTACCTATGAAAGGTTACAAAATTCTATTCAACTGTCTATTAATTTATTTTAATTCTTTGCCTGAGGATATAATTCTGTCATGGCTTTATGACTTTTTTTTAATCAGTATTCCACATCATGACATCATGTAAAGCACTGAAAGTTAAAGAGTTAATGCCCTACTTCCGTGAAATGCCAATTTTCTGAATACCTGGCTCTCAGCAGAGAAGCATTACATACCCCAGAAGACTCTGCATTCAGAGAGGAAGATAAAGGTCCTGCCAAGTCATGGGACTCTCTCCCTTGCTGCCTGGCAGTGTGTGGGTGTGTTCCCCAGCCATTTCGCCTTCAGTTCAGAGTAAGGCCTGTGGTTTCAGACACTCTCATTTTCTTTGATTTTTTTTTTTTTTAGCCTCAATTCCAATTGTATTGTATTTTGTTATCTTGCTTTCCAATATCATATGTAGTAAATTAACTTTCCTGCTCACATCATTGCTGTTGTTCTGTTTCCAGGCTCAGCCTCCATCTCCCCACCCTTCCTCCTTTCCCTTTTTGGACCGGTGAGCCTGCTGTTCCCCTGTCATGGACACAGTCAGGTCTAGATAACTCCTTGACAAATTCTTATCAATGAATCCCATGTTTGCATATATTTTTGGAAAGTAAGTAACCATTGCTTACAATCCAACCACAATTTGTATTCTTCCTTAATCAGTCATTGTGTTGTTTTATCTTATTTTTTTGCATGTGTGTGTTTAGATTTTTTTTATTTACAATAGTGGATCTCTTCAGTAAACGTGAAATTTAATCTATTTTACTAAAATTTATTCATATTAGAATAACTATTTCAAAACTTATAAAATAATTTTATAAAATAAACAAATAGATATTTTATTAGAAATTTCTTGAAATTGATAACTAGAGAGCTGTGATTTTAATGAAGTTCTTTCCTGTTTCTGTATTAGCTTGAAATCTTTATGCAGTTAAAAGTATTGTGAATATCAGTAGGTGTCTGTAGCATTTGGAGCACATGGTTGGGCTTTTTTGAGGTGACAGCAGATATAAATATTGCACTAGTGAAGGTGCCGAGCTTTTTGGGGTCTTATATTGGAAAATCCGTTGTTCTAAGTCCTGAAAGGTGTTTGAGTCTAATACCAGTGTACAAATAGTTAAAAATGCAACATCTTTCATTGAGAGTGAAAAGAGATCTTATGGTTATTACCATGTAGAACGTACAAGTAATGCGTCTAAGAAAGTACATCATAACCATTTATTTTCCCATTTGCCAAGGAAAACAGCTAAACTTTAAAGGTTCATTCTGGTTAAAGGTCATGTTTACTGTTGAGTTTTCTACCTACTTAAAAGTGTGTCATTTACTGAAAGAACATATGTTCTGCCAAACTTCTTCGTTTGAAGGTTTTTGTTGTTTGCTGCGTGTATGACAGTTTCCCAGAAGAAACTGTACCAACAGCTTTGTGCAGTTTCTCTGGCTTGCAGTGCACCTTTTAAGAAATAAAAAAAAAATCTCTTTTAAAATAAACATCTCTAAAATGTGCTCAGTCATAAGGCAACATCTTCTGCCTCATTATTAGCTGACTTTAATGCTGTATGGTTATTTATGGCGCAGGCTGAAAGTATATATGTCTCTTCATTAATCTATGACTCGGGTTTAATGAGTGCTGAGATTTGGGGTTTGGGGATCATTAATGCAGTCTTACCATTTACCCAGCTCTGTGACATCACCACCACTTAACCATAACCTTGTAAATGAACAGTATTCTTGCCGTCTATTAATTGCCTCCTGGGAGTGAAATGCCTTTAAGCTTCATTCAGTGTTGCTTTTTTTTTTTTTTTTTCTTCATAGATTCTCAACCATTAATCACTACACTCTGGATTCATGGCCGTTCAACATCAGAATTATGGCCCCAGGATAGGATTTTTTGTTGTTATTATTTTGTGACACATTTTGATAGGAAATTTGGAAAAATGTATGTGTGTTGAATTCCAGCTATCAATTTCCCTCCTGTCTGGACAGATAATGCTATTGTCAGTAGCTAAAGAAAACATTGTTATATATTGAATAAGAAAAAATATTTTAGAGAAGAAAAGAGGAGTGAAATCCAGTGACAGAAAAGACGAATGAAATCCAATGACTTCTGAAGTTATTCATCCTAAACATTATCAAAATCTTGCCAGGCTTATGCTAACTACTGTAACATTAAAAATAGTTTAGAAGTGTTTTGGCTTCATAGATGCAGGGATAATTGTAAGCTGTTTGGAAAAGGGATGCTTAATTAAACATATTTATTGAAAGTAGAAATAGGGGGAACTGTTTCCTTAAACTAATTGTTAAATCTACCAAATCTCTTTGCTGTCAAATTATACTGACCTCAAAAAGAAAAGTAAAAATCTGAATGCTAATAATACTTTTCATGACTCTTTTAAAATTACCTGTTATTTTTTTTCAGATCTTGAGATACCAGAGATCTGTGTGATATAAATTGCTGAGAAATATCCTTGAAGAAAATCTTGGGTTTAGACTGGAAGGTTTTGCAAAATCACCTTTTCATTTTCCTCTCTTATTCTCTAACTGTACATATGAGGACTGCTTCTTACCAGACTACTCTGAAGATCACAGGTTGCTGTTAAGAGCAAGGTACGTGTTTATATTTACTTAGCATCCTCTAAATAGCCCTGGTAATTTTACATTTTCTTAAGAGAGTCTTGGCTGACTTTGTTTTGAGCAGTAGGTGCCAAAGCATGGAGATATGTGGTTAATTACCCAAATACCATACAGCAGGTCTGGAAATTGCTATTCCATCTTGAGATTCAATGTAATAAATTAAATTTTTAAGATCTGGCATTCCCGTTGGACCAGAATATATAACATAAGGTATTGAGACTGCTGTCTTAGTGTATTACATTTCCCAGTTAAATGGAATGAGTTCTGGTCTTTTCATCAAAGGCAAAATGGCTGAAAAACAGAGTCTTTGAATCATTTTGAACTTCTATTGAATTTCCTCCATAGAAAGTTATTCACTAAAGGAAGAATTTTTTTGTGTAAGCCTTAAAAATAAGTTTAAAAAAACTGTTAAAGACTATCCTTTACTGCTGTTATATTATCTAGAAGCATTGTAGGTGTGTTAGAAATGCATACTTTTTTGTGAATATTTTCTGCTACTTTGAAGAATCTTTTTTTCTCTATTTTGTAAGACGTTGAGGAAAAAAAATCGAAGGTCTTAAAAGGAGAACATAATTCATCTGTGTTTACCTAAGATGACTTTATACTGGAGCTTTGTTTTGGTTTAAGGTAATGACATGAACAGCTTGTGCATCTGTTTTAGTACAAGGGCTGCTCCAAAACTAATGCCTCCTATTTTATTATGTTGACCCACAGTGTCAGAGGCAGATGGCTGTGGTATACAGCAGTAGAGGTGGATCTTCCCACCAATATTCCATTACATTTTCTTGCTCTGTGGCAGAAGGCAGCAGAGGGGCATTCTGACAAAATGGAGTCTGACATGGAATCGCGGATAAAGCAAAAGTGTGTCACTCTTGTTCATGTTGAAAAATAGTGTTTTGTAGCTGAGAATGTTCTTTATCAAATAGTGTTATTGTGCTTTTTGAATACATTGTAGTTTTCATGGAAATAAGTAGGATGCATTACTTTCAAAGCAAACTGTATAAATGGCAAAGAACATGTACCTATTTCTGATCTTCGATGGCACTGGGGATGTACAAATTCTACAACTAAGGCTGACAGTTTAATAGTAAAAGTACCACAAAATCACAGGGCCACAGATAATAAAGGAGTAGGTAAGTTTGTATGATAAACCAAATAGGCATTGGACTTTATATGCTGTGGTGAGAGTGAAATCAACCAAGGTTGGGGGGAGGGGGGAATGATATGAACATGGAAGACAGAAATTAAAATGTATGAAAATATCCCATTTTTTTTAGGTAGTATATTTAGATGGTCAATTATCCTGTAGTTAAAATTTTCCCATGTAATTTTATACTAATTTAAACTTTCACTGTAAGCTGGTAAATTTTGTTTAGATAAAATACAGTTGATTTAGGGTTTTGTATTTTTTTTTTTTCTTTCAATTGTGAGTAAAGGTATTGTATGACAGCCTCCATCAGAAAAATACTTGGAGATGCAATTCTCACAGAGTAGATCATGTTATTAAAAGTAAGAACCTTCATTTTAAGCTTGACATAAATGAGTTGGTAAAATGATGGGGAAGAAATCAAATAATACTGAAATATCCTTCAGAAGAGCAATACTGATAAAACCAAAAGCCATGCAAACCTTGTGAAGAATAGGAAAAGACAGATTACTCTCTTAGTTAATCATCCTGCAGTATTAATCAGCACAGGAGCTGCAGTGGTCCTGCTCCAAATCATCCTTCTTGGGGAACCTACTTCTTTCTCCTTTGTGAAGATACCCCAGGCTCTCAAAGGGGAAGTGCCAGTGTCATGTGTCCAAAGCTGCTGTGGTTTGAATCTATGTCCATATGCCATGGCTTCACAGTCTTTGAAGGCTGGTCTAAACTCTAGGAGAGCTCAGGCCCCCCTAGGTATGCATGACTTGAGATATGGGATAGGGCAGAGGATGTGAGAATTTGAATGGGCCTTCAGGTCTGAAGATAAAGTACATTGTCAAGTTCTAGCTCAGATGTAGGAAACTGGTCATAGCTGTCATAGCTATAAATTATGGTCTTGTCCTGAAGACAAAGCATGACATCACTTACAGCTGTATCCTCAGAAAGAAAGAAAATTCTTAAGAAATATGAAAGGAAGAAAAAAAAACCTTAGTATTCAAGAGATTTTATTAGTTGCATTCAGAACAAAAGAGGCTGTGACAGGTGAATCACATTGAGGCTTTTCATTTAAAATATGTTTTCCCCATAAAGCTCAAGATTCTGTCACCAGAGTTGTGACAAAGGTGAGGGACAGAAAAATTTCTAAAGAATCCCTGAGAAGAGGAAAATGAGGCCAATTAAAGCTTTCTAGTGGCTGGAGAGTGGTTTAGTTCCTGCTGGATCAGATTAACAAAGCAAGTGTGTTAAAATAGGAGAAGTAGAATCAAATGACCTTTAAGATTCCTTCCAATCCAACCAACCCAAGTCATTCCATGATAATTCAAAAGTTTAGTGAAGAAAAAAAAAAAAAGTAGCGGGAAGAAGAGGATAAAAGAGGAAAGAGAAAATTCTGACAAGGTTGTTGAGGAACATATTGGGCAGATGCATAACATAAAATTACTACATTAATTAATTAATCATCACAAAGCCAGTAGAAGGAGGAAGCACACAACAAGCCATAGCACTCTTCCCTGACTGCCTATGGAAACCAGAGCTATGAAGGGGGACAGGAAGGTTTTGCTTGCCTATTTGTCCCTCACAGAGATCAGGTACCAGTACAGCACACTAAGGTGTCTGCTGCATGCCAAGAACTATCCAAGAGAAAGGGAAAATGTCCTCCTTTGTTTTTTTTAGGTGAACTAGCTATGTCCATCCCAGAGGATCTATGTTCCTAGGTCCTCACCCTCTACCTAGTGACCTGCAGCAGAATTACAGGATATCCCAGAGATAGAAGCATGAGGTCCAGCTTCTTAAACTTTGCCTCGTATTTAGACACTTATCTTGTACCTATGTCTATAGTAGTGAATGAGTGATAACCAGTATAAATTAATCTCTCTACAAACTTTAACAAGAAATAAAAAGATCTGAAGAAATAGCCTAAGGGGATATCTTGTACATTCACTCCTTATTCTCCTCTGTTTCAGCCATCTATTAAAATGGAACATAACTTTCTTCTCTAACAAGCATTGCAGACTAATTATAAGTCCTATTGAATGGGACCCAGACTTTTCTATAATGGAACTTCAGAAGGTATAGATCGAATTTCCAACTAGATTAGAACTTCTTCCTTATATTGGTTAGAATGTTTGTGAAATTGTGCTTAACCTGGTTTGTCTGGAAGACACGGTTAGCCAAAAAATTTGAGGCATGATGCCTGTGAGGTTTTTAATTGCCTGATTGTTACATTTATATAGTATGCTGTTTGTGTGCAGAACTGCTGGTATTCTATAAATGTACAAGTTTTTGCATTATGCATTTATGTTATGTAGAAATGGAAGTTGTACTTGAAAGTCTAAACCTCCATTTGGCATTTACTACTTCATAAAATAGTTCAGTGTAGCTTAAATATGTGCTTTTCTAATTTCAGGGTATAATATACATTCTTCTTCAGCCTCTTAAAATCTTATGAACATAGCAGAATACACTTTCAGGTTACTGATGGCTTACTTATTAATTTAGTTGCATTTAGAAGATAGTTAACTCATATACATTGAAGCTTTTGCTATTTCCTTTCCAACACCTCACCTTGAAATTCAGCTCAAATAGCCAAGCAAGGTTAAAGATATTCTGAAGGATTTAGAGATAAATCTACGTGTTAAAAATATGTGCTGTAGGTAGCATCTACTGCGCAACTGCTTTTGTATGCTTAATTTTGGAGAGTCCAGAAGGCAAAGCTATGTGGCTCAAGGGGTTAGAATTTTGAAGACTGTAACTTCATAGCTGTATGTCGGAGTATTCTTTTTTTCACTGTTGTTGGGTTGGCTTTAGGTACTGGGTCAGTGGTCAAACTGAGTCTGTGAAGCTTAACATAGATACATAGCATACATAGATCTGTATGCTAAGAGTTATCAAAATCAACAATATTTTTTTGTTTGCTCTGCTCTTAGCATTTTAGAAATGAATTCATTTGAGTAGAAATGTTCTAAATGTACACACAACCACCAAACCAACAAACAAACAGGCTACATTTCAGTAGGAATGTTCTGATGTAATATGAGAAAAGGGTTCTTTCTAAGTTAGACATATGCATCTTGTAAAATGGCAATTTCTTTAAGAGTGTGAAAACTGACACTTATAGGATTCTTGTTATAAATTATTTCTGCCTCTGTGCTTTCCTGGCTTGGTAAATGAGATCAGAAAACATCAGAATTGATCAAACTTATAAACCTACAAAAGCATCTCTCACATGCTTAGAAAATGTCGGTTATAAACATTAGCAAAACTGTAACATCTGATTTTAGCTAAGGTCAAGGTTCAGGATTTAATCTGTCCTACAGTGAAGGCATTTGAAATGAAATCATAAGGATATTAAATACATTGGCAAATGACCCAATGAATATAAAATTCAATTTAAATTTCAGCACACTTAAACTAAGTTTAAATTCTCAGTGTTCACGGACAACTGCTTTTTAGATGCTGCCAGTTCAAAGTTGCTCAGGATATTTTTTTTTTTTTTTTTTTTTTTTTTAACCAATATTTGTTTAACACCTGGACTCCTACCTGGTAAAATTTACTGTTAAGAGATACAGCAGTAGACCCAGTAGATTTTATTTTCTTGAGTGAGAACTCTTCTGATTTAGCATCCTAAATCAGAGTTTTCAAGTAGTAGTTATTAAACGTGATCTCAATGTGACGGTGAATCAGGACTGGCTCATTTGGTAAATTCATTGCCACTGGCAAATGCCAGCTCTTCCCACCAGATCAGTGGCATAATAAAGGGTGGCAAGACAGAGAATCACAGGCCAGCAGCTCTGAAATTGTTCTTTCTAGGCAAGTAGTATTTTTGTGAGAATTCTTTGCTTCCTGTGAAGGGACTAGAAATTAATCTGGGGCCAGGATTATTAATGTACATCCCTGTCCCTAAGATGAGGCTCTCTTTCCTATGGAGGATTCTTTTCTTTCATGGTCACCAATTCTCTCTTGGGAAACATTAGCTTGCTGAAGAAGCAAGCGAGTGGCTTTATTTTTAACAAGTGGGATGGACTCTCACAACAACACACACAACATGTAAAAGATCAGCAAAAAGCAGAGAACACATTTAAAAAACAAAAACGAACAAACAAAACCTTAAATACTTAAATTCTGACTCTTTTGGGTCAAACACATACATTTTTCATCACTCGTATACAAAGTCTATCCACAAATCCAAGCATCTTGGTCAAACATTCAGAAACCACTAGAACATTCCTTGTTACCTGAACCATGTACACAATAAACACATAGATTTTTTTGTTAGAAATTTTACTTATTATTTAGATAGTAGCCCTACAGTATAGGTCACTCTGGACTACACAGTTATAGCTAGATAAGTTTTGGGTGACTATAATATGACAGAAACATATCCAGAATTATGACTTTGCCCTAGAACTACACCACAGTACTGGTACAACTATATTGCTCTTATTTAAACAGAAACAATATTCAACTACTTTCTAACACATAGTTTTTCAAAATCTATTGAACTGTTGAAAGATGAAGTGAAAAAGATGGTCAGAGAGCTGGAACATCTCCCCTACAAAAACAGAGAGAGCTGGTCTTGTTCAGCCTGCAGAAGAGAGGGCTGCAGGGTGACCTCATTGCAGCCAACAGGACTTTTCAAGGGTAGATAATGACAGGACACAGGGGAATAGTTTTAAGTTGAAGGAAGGATGATTTAGGTTGGATGTCAGGGGAAGTTCATTACCAAGAGAGTGGTGAGAAGCGTATATAGGCTGCCTAGAGAGGCTGTGGATGCCCCATCCCTGGAGGTGTTCAAAGCCAGGTTGAATGAGGCCCTGGGAAGCCTGGTCTAGTATTAGATATGGAGGTTGGTGGCTCTGCTTGCCGCAGGGAGGTTGGAGCTTAATGATACTTGAGGTCCCTTCCAACCCAAACCATTCTATGATTCTGTGAAAAAAACCTGAGATGTTTTACTTAGGCTTTGTGGAAGTTTATTACATTGGAAGGAAAAAAAAAAAAAAGAAAAACAACAAAAAACAGAAATTTCATCTACCAAGTTGGCCAACACTGTCAATAGGACAGGACTACCAAGAGATTACTTGAGAATACTTACTAACTGCCATTGTAAAGATACAGGAGAGCAGCCTTGCAGTTAAATGTTCGTTTGTGTGCAGGCTTGGAGAAGCTCTGCATTCAAAAGGAATTCAATAAACGTAGGCAATGTAATTTCATCTGATGTTATTTCAAAGTGAATACTTTATTTATGTAATTGTACAAAATTGGGAAATAGAAAGTACAAAGTCCAGGAATCAAAAATATAATAGAGTTATGGCCAGATTAAAATGCACTGCAGAATGTCAGTGACAACTGGAATGTGTTACTTCATTTTGTTTTCTACTGTAGTGACAAAATATTTTGAAATTGAAACTATACATATATGCTAAGAGATGACATTGAATAATACAGTATTCATAAATTGATAGTTTGCTGAAATACATTATGCATAGAATACACTATATGAACAATGAAATTATAGCCCATCCAGTTTAATATCCAGAGTAGATAAAATTATGAAAGCTATATAAAAGCACAAGCACATTCACTAATGATGACAAAGATCTGTTATCAGCTTGTCATATGAATTAACAAGTTAGGTGGAACTAATAGTTATAGATAAAAACTACAGTCTTTTACAAAGTGACAGATACCATTCATCCTGGCTGAATTAGAAATAATACTCAAATGTCCAATGAATGTGAAAATGACTGTTGTTGTTCCTTCATTTTCCTTCCATTAGTTAAATAAAACTGGAGAAAGTCATCGCATTTAAAACTTCTCAGTTAATCAGTATTCTACAGAGACTTCATTCAAATCTTAATTCAATGTTTCACTTCAAAAATTGATGAATTATCTACTGAATTTCTATCATAGCTGATAAGAGATATTTTAAGGATTTCACATCCTGTCACTTTATGTTTTTGAAACAGTTAAAATGTACTTTGTTTCCTCTTGCTTCCTCATAGAGAGTCTCAGAAGGGGTCAAGTTAGAAGGAACCTCTGAAAGATATCTGGTTCAAATCTCCTTCTCAACTCAAGTAGTCATATAGAACTGTTTTCCCAGAATAATGTCCAAGTGGCTTTTTGATATCTCCAGTGAAGTAAACTCCACAGCCTATCTGTGCAACCTGTGCTGTTACTCTTGACTCCTCTCCCTTGCACCAAGCAGCACAGGATGTTGGGGATGGGCTTGTTCAGTCCACAGAAGTCGCAGTCTGCTTTGCTTTCCTCCTCATGCTGTTGCTGTGCTCTGGTGGGGACTCTCTAAGGGCTTCAGGCTTTCAGGATAAACCTGCTTCAGCACACGTCTTTTGTGGGCTGCAGATTTTGTTAAGAGGCCTGTCTCTGGTGTCTAGAGTACCTCTTCTTCCTCCCCTGACCTTGGTTTTCTCTCTCTTGCTTCTCACATCCAGTTATTGTGCCTATGTTGTCATCTCTACTACTCTGCTCTTTGGTTTCATGCCTATTCTTTACTAGGGTTATTTCCTGTTTTCGTCCAGTTCCGAGAAGAAAGCATTCTCTGAACTGCTCCTGCCTACAACTCCTAGCAAGAGAAGTTAGGCACTTAAACGCTTTCTGAGGATTTGTCTCAGGGTTGCTTCAGGAAACTTAATTCTTACTAAGGAAGTATGAAGTTATATCCTTACATGAGCTTTGGTTCACTTAGGCTTAGAGAGTTCTCCCTTTTCTTTTTGATAGGGGTTTGCCTGAATACGAGAAGTAACCTCAATATATGACCTGTGCTTCTTTTCTTCTTTCAAAATTCTCAGTGAAATGTTCTCATTAGTAGCTCTATCAAGGGATATTATTGCCCCATTGCTGTTAAACTGAGAGGAGAAATTTGAGAAGTGCCTTTCATTTACTTACCCATTTCTGTTGTGGAGAATACTGCAGGATGAGTCAGACTAGTATTAGGTTTAATATTTTTGATCATCTTTGTTAGCTTTTTCTTTATGTATAGTATTAAAAAAACAAAAACCCTGACAGAGAAAATTTGAAAAACCCATCCATTAGTTAGTCTGGATGGTGGATACAAAAATAGAGAGAAAATACAGCCACAATTTCATAAAATATCAGAGAAGTCAAAATTAGAATAAAAAATGTGGAGATGATACTTTGGGTCAAAGACAAAACAAACTTGTTTTTCAATGGATCTGGGTTACTATGAAACCACTGTGATACAATTTTTTTAACAGGACTGAAAGTTATAGCAAATAATGATTTCTTAGCAGCTCTGCCATGTGTAACCATTTTTATTTTTTTTTTTCCTTGATGATTTAATAACACCAGGGGTAAGAGAAATGAGTCAGGAATCCTGAATTTCTATATGCTGAAAGGGCTATTGCTGCTGCACGAACACAATAACTGTGGCATTCATAATATGGAAATAGAGAATACAGAGCTGGTAAAGCCTTACAAGTATGTGGTGATAAAAGGGTACCACAGTCCAGGGCACTGCAATGTCAAAGGGAAGAATCAAGGCCCTGAAATAGGTACCTATAGCCTTGTAATTAAGGCAGGCTTCTAGAGCACAGCAAGCATGGAGCTTAGTCTCATATTTGATGGAGGAATTTAACCCAGGTCTCCCACTTGCTTTTGTATAAGAATGATAATTTTTCTCTGCTCTGTTCTTTAAAAGAACTATTCCTAGTTACCGGATAGACAGAAATACATGCACAGTGCATTAAGAAGGATGTCAGAAGACTTGGGGAAAGGAATGGGAAGCTTTGTAGTTTGCATTCCATTAAGTTTTTGTTCCCTATTTCTGCGTGGCTTCATTTTTAAAAACTGATGCTATGCCTGCCTCTTCCATTGCACTGCACTGGGGACTGTGGCGTATGCATGGTGACAGGGCATTGGTGGGATGTACTTAAAGATGCCTGCTTCGACACAGACATAGACATCCATCAGTAAATACAGTCCTTTGCCCCACTCTCCTGAAACTGAAGGAAAAGTTCAGGCTTATGGCTGAAATGTGACCAGACGAATGCATGGGAGCCCCTGCCACTGGGAGACTGCCATGTGCAATCTGTGCACTCACCTCCATTTTGCTGGCTCTGACTCATTTTTCTTAAGAGGCTTGTTGCACTGAAAAAGGGAAGCAAAAAGCTTGATGTCTCTCTAGCTTAGTGACTGCAGGGAGAGAGGGATGTGATGACATTTTCTGAATCACAGAATCACAAGGTTGGAAACGACCTGCAAGATCATCTAGTCCAACCACCCTCCCATTCCTATTAGTACCACAAGCACTAAACCATCTCTCGTAGCTCCTCATCCAGGCGCCTCTTGAGCACTACCAGGGACGGCGACTCCACCACCTCCCTGGGCAGCCATTCCAGTGCCTGACCACCCTTTGAGAGAAAAAGTTTCTCCTCATATCCAATCTGAATCTCCTCCGGTATAACTTCTGGCCGTTTCCTCGGGTCCTACTATTTGCCTGGGAGAAGAGGCCAGACCCTTTTGCACCACAACCTCCCATAATTATATTGGTGTTTCATCGTTTTCTGTTTCTTTGTTTCACGTAGAACACAGAAAGCAGAATTTGAACTGTTTTAATCTCCCCATGAAAAATCTTGCCCTCTCTCTTTTGTTTCTCTCCCTATTATAGTCACATGACAAATGGTTTTATTTCCACAGAAGAAAATGTGAAATCTCCTTATGACCAGCACCCCCTACCCAGTCCACCAATTCTCTTCCTTGTGCCTGTCTCTTGTAAGTAGCTTTTTTGCTTGCACTCTTTTCTCAGAAATAGGAGATGTGGTTTATGATGCCTCTGAAATTTGGAGAGAAATGTTCTAGGAATTACTTCATGGCACAAAAAGGTGACCCTGCTGCCTCCTCCAGCAGCTGCTGATGCACAGGCAGCCCTCAGAGAAAGTAGTAAGAGGTACAGAGTGTTTGGGGGCTCCAGCATAGGAAATGTCATCTAACCACGACAAGACTGATGCCTCTTCAGGCACATGAAGAAACAATAACAGCTGAATTGTGGATGGAAATGTTAAACACAGGTGTTTGTGGGCACCAGATGCATTGAAGAATTGCTGATTTTGTGATGATTTCGAGGACAGTAGTTTTGAATTTAGGTATCTGGATCCCTTAAAGTCCCACCTTAAGCATCAAAACTCTTCAGAACCTGGAAAAAAGGCCATGAGATATGCAAACAATGTGGCTGACATTTGTCTTGAAGGTATGCACAAGGAAAGGCATAAGGGAAAAGAGCTTGAAATAACTCTAATTGCATGTTTTAAATATTAAGATGCAGGAAGTACAAGTTTCATTACTTGAACTTTTATATTATATTTAAGTTTCATTGTATCGTCTCTTTTAAAATGTGGAGATGTGAACTAGGAATAAAAAGGGAAGGTTATAGGATGAAATTGGGGATATATTCCTGTAGCCTGAACCGTAAGTGCATAGTTACAATTCTGTATGACTTGAAGATTAGTGTATGTCAAAGATACCTAGATACACAAATACAGGAAATTAAATGTATTGATAGGTATAGAAAAACAGATTTATTGTCTGAATTTGCACATTGAATTTCTGACTATGAAGCTGCTACTACATCTTCTTTTGGTTGCTCAACTAACATATATATATAAAATCAATATAAGCAGAATTTTCACTGTATCCTTAGGTTATGTGTTCACTGCTTACATGATTTGTAGTAACTACAAAACAGGTTTTTCTGCCCTTCTCATGTTCCAGGAACAACTGAAACGTAAGATTCAAGTGAACACATATGCATCACAAAACCTCTTTTTGTATCATCTTGTATTGTTTCTGTGGTCTCCATGCAGTGGTGGGCTATCAGAGAGATACAGATACAAACCATTGAGGTTGGTGATAACTAAAGGGGATCAAGAACTTAGAAAAAGCCAGCAAGTTTTACTGAAGAGGTATCATTATGACAAATGACAATTGCACATGACCAAATGACCAAAAAGGGAAATGGCTAATATGGAATAGAAAATAACACTGCAGGTATAATAATGCCTTTGTACTCAGATGGAATATTATGTCCAGATCTGGAATAACACCATGTGTTTGTGGGCAGGAAAATGAAATGCTGAAAGAAGAAATAGTTTTTATGTAAGAAGTAAGTCATTTCAGTGTTATGTTAGATAAGAGACGAATAACATAATATGGGTACATTGTGATTAGGACTGAGGTGCTTGTTTTTCTTTCTCCTACTGAGAGGAGAACAGCTCAAGAATTTTCTGTGATGTCTGAGGGCACTGCATTAAGAGGAAATACTTGTTTTCACATGATGCATAATCAACTATTTGCTGAAAAACAGTGTTATACCCAAGAGGTTTGTGAGTCTTAAAGCACATGTTGATACAACTAATGAGAAACACCACTGCTGCTGAATGTAACTTCACAAAAAAAAAAAGAAGGAAAACTATCATGCTTCAGTGCAGAGTACAAAGAGTAATGAGCAGACGCCAGGAACAAATTTTCCTTCACAAATAAAGGTGGAAACTGGAAAATGAATTTTTAAAACTCCAGAAGAAAATGGTTGCTGTGGTAGGGAGGAAGGTTCTAAGTTCCTATGTAAAGATGATAAGGGTAGTGAAGGTCTTTCTATACAAGAAATTATATAAGAAGGTGGTCAGAATTCAGTTTATCAGAATACCCATTGAACTTTCTTCAATTAAAAAACAAAACAAAACTACACAACTTCAGTTAAAGGTTAGCAGTGCTAAGCATTAGCCTTATCTCACCAAAGAGGAAGAAAGAGCTCTTTTGCTGAAATAAGAAATGATAATTGTTTTTCTGATCAGCTGAGTTTAGAAACAGCATTTTTTTAATTGTCCTCATGTTTGGTCAGATTTGCTAAGCCTCAGCATTAATACAAGTAACTTATGAAAACTGAGGGGCTGCCAGAGCTTACAGAATTAACCAGGCGATTTGGCATACAGAAGAAAGGATTGTCTCCCGGCTGTCACAAGGCCAGTATTGCTAGTTCTAATATTCCTAATTCAAATGTCCAATACTCATGAAATGCACAAATGAAAATGAGATATAGTGAAGCAAATGTTTATTTTTTTCTATAGCAGCAACATCTATCTCTATTTATTTGCATTTTTGGATTTCTGCCTGTTCTCTTCTTACAATGAAAGTTATGTATCCAGAACTTTTAATTGTGATTATTTTGAAATAAAAGTGTTGATTCATTTTTCATAACTGGTAAATAAAACCTACTAACTCTTTAAAAATAAATACCAAATTGGAGTAATTTTTAGCAATACATTACCATTATGTTTTTTAGTTTTCAGATAAGTTTTCAGCATAGAATATTATTCTTTGTTACGGGTTTTACAGTATTTCAAGACAGTTTAAGCCAGAAATCTCCTTATCAAGGGCTGCCATCTTATCACTACTCATCTCAGTTTTACATTCTCAGAGTTACCATTACTGACAAATAACCATCCAAGGGAAAATAATATCCTTTCATACCATTTCTTAGAAGTCCTTAATGCCTACTCAGTCTTTATTCTAATGAAACTCTTTGTCCTCTCTGGGTTGTGTGTAATCCACAGCTGTTCATATAGTTGTATAGCTAGTAAAGGCTTATCTAACTTGCCCATTGGATATTTCTGGGTATGCATATTCCACTGTAGAGAAAAGGATTTTGCAGTGTTTTTTTTTTTTTTTTTTTTTTTTTTTTTTGTTTTTTGTTTTTTTTGTTTTTTTGTTCGTTTGTTTTGGAATTGAACCTCTCAGTTTTCTCTGAAAAAGACAATGAGCAATTTTGATATACAAAGAATATTTGTATAAAGGAATAGATCAGTAAAGTAATTTCAAATGAATAATTAGCACTTTAAAACAACCTGATACTTTCCCTTGCATTTCTCTCTCTCTTCAGTTTTCATTATCTTTGGAGAAAATTACCGTGCTGACTAGAGGGTTTGGGAAGCACCAGCATTTTCTTTGTATGTGAAAGATGACAACAAATGGAGTTGCTTTAGAATGACATTGGTTACATGTTTTTCTCAATTGCTACCTTTTCTTAATTCTCTGGGTGTTTGCAAAAAGAAATGCATACTTGTTTTATTGTCAACTTACATCTGGATCTTTTTTTCTTTTTCCTTTTTTTAATAGATTCTCCAAATCAATTTTCTTCAAGCTTTTCTCAGCATGTGAATAAGAGTAAAACTCTAAATTGCTTTTCATTTGTATTAACATCTTTTCTCTCTCAATGAGTGTGCTTCAGTCTCAGAATCTAATCTCCTGGATTTTCAGTTGCTCCACACTTCATTAAAAATGCTATCCTGGTAGCCTCTGCATTGTTTTAGAATAAACCAAAAGTTTCTCACTGCAATGTAAATCAGAGGAAGGTTTTTCTTAATTTCTGAAAGGTGATTGTCAAAACATTATCAGTCATCTTCCACATCTGTAAGATGCTTATTTAAAGACTATTTGAAGAATACAGAAAAATGAGAATATTTGAGTAGCTTTTTACATGCTAGAAACAATCTTCAGTGAGCCATTTTTCTTTCAATGAGAATATAACTCACATTGCTATCAAGAGTGTCTTTTATGAGCTGCACACTGCTTTTCCTTAGCTGTGTTTCCATTTTTTAATAATTTGTTAATAGCATGAAACTCATAATTTCTGCTTTCCTTTTATGTAGGAAGCAAAGAAAAAAAAATCTATATTTTATTGTTCCTCCCATTAAATTTATCATTTTAACAAGTGGGTGAGTATTTTCAATGTCATAGCTAATCAAATTTTGACCTTTTTGCACTATTTGCTGATATGCAGTGTGATGTATCTTAGGAATGTTGGTATATAAAAGTTGGTTTGGATGAACTGTCCTTACAGTCCAGCATCCTAACAGAGATGGTTTTTTTCTGAAGAATCAAAAATACAAGAATACTTGCTGGACAATTATGACAAATCTTGCCCACAGGAGGAAGTTTATCTTCATTTGTTGTACAATAGTGTGTCACTGGGGATCTAGTGATTTTATAAATTGCTTACTTTATTTACACCGTGGAGTACAGTATTGCCTATGTGTGTGCATACATGCTTTTAACAACACTGAGCTTGAACTCTAGGGTGACACATCATCAGTTTATGTCTAAACCTTTGTCTTCTCAGTCACTCCTAATGGCAAGTGATAACAATTTACATCTTTCCCTGCCTCCGCAATCAATGTGCTTGTGCGTCTCTTGCCCAAGCCAAGCCTTGAACCCTATTTGGGAGACACATCCTGCCTGCAGCTCTCAACCTCCCCAGTGTCACCTGGAAAGCAGAGCTGGGGACTGCCACTGTCCCACCATTCAAGGACGCAAGTGGGGTGGTAGGCTCCAGGCTGGGCACCATGTGAGGGGTAGCAAGGGCATTTGAGGCCACTTTATCATATGAGAGGCATTGCAGAAATGTGGTCCTCTTCTCCTTATTGGCATGCTTTCCTAAATACTACTTACATTGAGCCAAATCTTCACAGAATCACAGAATGGCCAGGGTTGGAAGGGACCTCAAGAATCATGAATCTCCAACCCCCCTGCCACGTGCAGGGCCACCAACCTCCCTGTTTGATACTAGACCAGGCTGCCCAGGGCCCCATCCAATCTGGCCTTGAATACCTCCTGGGATGGGGCATCCACAAGCTCTCTGGGCAGCCTGTTCCAGTACCTCACCACTCTCACAGTAAAGAATTTCCCCCTGACATCCAAACTAAATCTCCACTCCCTCAATTTAAAACCATTTCCTCTTGTTCTGCAGTTATCAACCCTTTCAAAGAGTTGATTTCCCTCCTCTTTGTAGGCTCCCTTTAGGTATTAAAATGCTGCAATAAGGTCACTCCACAACCTTCTTTTCCCCAGGCTGAACGAGCCCAGCTCCCTCAGCCTGTCCTCATAGGAGAGGTGCTCTGGTCCCCTGACCATCTTCATGGCTCTCCTCTGGACCCTTTCCAATAGCTCTGTCTTCCCTGTACTGAGGGCTCCAGACCTGGTCACCGTACTCCAGATGGGGCCTCAGAAGAGCAGAGTAGAGGGGGACAATCACCTCCCCGTCCCTGCTGGCCACCCATCTTCTGATGGAGCCCAGGATACCATTTGCCCTCCAAGTCGCAAGGGCACACTGCTGGCTCATGTTAAGCTTTTCATCCATCAAGACCCCCAGGTCCTTCTCTGCAGGGCTGCTCTCAAGGACCGCTCCTTTCAGTCTGTATGGATGCCTGGGATTCCTCCATCCCAAGTGCAAAACTCTGCACTTTGCTGTGTTGAACCTCATCAGGTTCACCCGGGCCCACCTTTCTAACCTGTCGAGGTCCCTCTGAATGGTATCCCAATCTTCAGACCCTGCAGCAATGAGTTCTGCCACTAAATTTTGCATTCTTTTTTTTTTCCCTCAGTGTTATTTGTGCTGACTTTGTCTTGCGTGTGACTTCAGTATGTCATATGGTCTTATTATATTCTTTTATATTCATCTATTTCCCAAATTAGACAATTTCAGTCTTTGCAATCTTTCATCGCAGAAATTCTGCCATATTCTTTGAAATTTTCATTACATTATTCTAAATATTCCTTATCTCTTTTCCAGATAGATTGCCCAGGATTGAGCACATACTGTACCTAAAGGCATATCACTGACATCATAATACTTTCTGAAAGACAGTCTGTCCCATAATAATATCTTATTTGTTGCTTTAGTATTTTGCCCACTGCATTATAGATCTTAAATGGTCTTAGGAAAGCAGAACCCACCTGACTTGTTCAAATAGAGGCTTAGGAAGTACTGTATCATCTTACAGAGAATTCAGCATTTACTCTGTGACTGTATTGCCTGTTTGA